ATAACCATTTTCCCATAAATTTCACTATATCATCTTTCATTTCCATCTTTCTGCTCTCAGCACCTCACTCCCCCCAAAACGAATTTCAAGCTTAATGTTGGAAAAAAATAAAAAATTTATTTTGTATTTTTCACAAATTTTGAAAGGGCCCTTAATAAAAAAAAAAACACGGTTTTTCCGTGTTTAGACGCGGTTTCTGCTGCGGCACAGCGCGCACGGTCTCCGCGTTTAGACACGGTTTTGTAATTAATTTTTTATGGGTTGTTTTTGGGCGTTAATAAAAACACGCGGTAAATCTGCGTTTACACGCGGTTTCTGCTGCGCGCAGCACACGCAGATTCCGCATTTGCACATGGTTTTTTATTTAATTTTTTACCGCTTATTGTTCAAGTTTTTTTTTGAATTTTTAAAATTGTTTCCTATGTTTTAAAGCGTGTAGAATTTAATGGTAAAAGCCATTTTTCATAAAAATGACTTTTGGTTATTAATGTTTTTTTTTTCCACTCATTTTTTTAATTAACTAGGGAACTCGCGGCTCCGCCGCGCCCATCTCACTAACCAGGCAATTTAGCCGTCTCTGTTCACCGCCCCTATTTCCTTTCTCTACACTCACAACATCACTCGAAACAAAAACAAATACTGAACCCGGTCTACTCTGATCACTCTCCCTGCACTACCTCCCAAATACGGATCAGGTATTACAACAGACAATCAACCGGACAATGTGTCAGATCCACACCTATCTCCTAATCCGCTTCGAGACTATTACATTTCTGCCGGCGGGACTCGGTTCCAGTCGCTTTACTTATAAACGTTTTTTTTTCCCACTGCTAGTATGTTCCTCACTCTCACAACACACTTCCTTTACATATTCCATCACTTTGCAGTATTTATTCTTTATTCAGAAAACATCAGCTCCGGGAATGGGCCAGAACTTTTAGATCTATTGTAGGATTGGACGGGTTAAGGAAAGGAGGTGAAATGGGATTAGCAAAGGGGAATTGGAAGGCGGATAAAGAAGAAAGCAGGTGTAAGTTGATTAGGAAGAGGAAATTGCAAATTGGAATAGGTAATGGATCGTGCGCGATTCAGAGGTGAAAGGGGAAAAAGGGAATCAGATAAGGAGAAGATGAGTCAAGGATGTTGGCTGCAAAAGGTTGTTGAAAAAAGAGGCGGAAGAACGGAAAAAGAGATGTAAAGCCTTTTGAGGTGGAGTTGAAGAAGGAAAGCGACCGGAAAATCGAACAGGGGGACTCCTTCACCGCACAGTAGAGCAGTGCGGGGCTGGTAT